CTATTCTGCAGTTAGAAGCTATGATTTGATATGGAGTTGCTTGGTGATTGTTGCCTTTGGTTTTTGCTGCTTGGTTATTGTTGCTTTATTTTTTTCTTGCTTGGTGATGTTGTTGCAATGGAGAATGGTTAAAATGTATTGAGTATTTAAATTAGGGTTAATATCACTTTTGGTCATGTCACTTTAGTCTTTAATCAGATAATCTGTCAAGTTTTTTTGATAGAAGTGATTATGTATCATCTATATAATAAAGTAGAACAATTTTAAATTTTTGAGACAAAAAGCGGTCTTGATTGCTTCGTAATTAAAAAAATCATCATCCAACGGACTGCATTATCTCAAACTGTCTCAAGCTATTAACGTCTCAGATCATTTTGATCCGACGTACTATATTAACTTTTTTGAAAAATTGTTGCTGCTCAAAATTTATAATTTTCAAAATTGATATTCCAAAATTTAATTCCCTCAAATATTTTTCTTAAATCAAGCAAATCTCTCATTTTCCTCTGTATCTTTCTCTCACGCTCAATTCACACAAAAAGTATCAATTTTTCACAATATTTTCTTCTGTATCTCACAAAAATGTTCGATAGTGCTTAATTCAAATAAACACGATATCTCTCTGTAAATAGATAGTATATATCACAAAGTGATAGTATATTACAAAAATATTCCTTTGTATTTCTCGTTGAAGGAAAAATTATGTAATAAATATTAGATAGATAATATATATCACAAAAATATTCATCTGTACCTTTCTCTTTCATTCAAGCAATACTACAAACACGAATCATACGAATTCAATAGTCAATTTTATTTTTTTACATAATCAATAAAAAAAAACATAACTTGCAAAAATCTAATTTAACAAAGATAATATATTTAACATGTAAAATATACAAGATTAAATTCAAGTTATTAAGTAACTCAGATATCAAGAGATATATTAAAGAAAATATGTTTAACATTTACAATATACATGATTAAATTCATACACAAACATGAATTATAAAATTCAATATTTAGTGAGTAACACAAAGCAACAATATTTACTAAATAATCCAAAATTATAAGCGAGAGAAACGATACAAAATTATAAATAATACTATAAATACGAATAATACAAATTTAATAATTGGTGACCCACACGAAACAATAATCTTTGTTAAATAATTCAATATCAAATAACGTTTAGTTTAAAAAAATATACTAAGAATATAAATAACCAAGAATAATTATATAAAATTAACAGCAGCACTATAAACTCAAATTATACAAATTCAATAGTCAATTTTGTATTTTCTATAATCAATAAAAAAAACATAACTTACAAAAAAATCTAATTTAACAAAGGAAATATACTTAACGTATAAAATATACAAGATTAAATTCAAGTTATTGGGCAATTCAGATATCAAAAGATATATTAAAGAAAATATGCTTAACATTTAAAATATACAAACACAAATCATACAAATTCAATATTTAGTGAATAACACAAAGCAACAATATTTACTAAATAATATAAAACTAAATACACGTTATAAATAATGTTATGCATGTAGGTTGATGTTATAAAAAATATTAGCAGACTCATTTTGTTCGTCATTTACTACAATGTTGTATTTTACTTTACATTTATGTATGACCAAATATTTTTAACTAATTTATGAGTAATACTGTACCTTCAGGCACGGGCAACTAGTTTTTTTATATGGTATTACGTGTCAAATATGTGATCATTCCGTTAAAAACTTAACAGTCTCTCTGTGTTGAGACTAAAATAATATGAAATAAATATTTTAGGGATCAAATTAACAAAATTGATATAATGAAGACTAAACTGTTAAAAATAGATATTTTAGAGACCAAAAGTACAATCAACCTTATAAATTATATTCCAAAATAATGAATTATAAATTATACTATTATTTAAAAAGTTACCGCTCCACGGACAGCTTCTTGTGAAAACAAGGGATTTGATTATGAGATTTTCCGATAACATTTTGTTTGTCAGAATTTAGAATTACGGGCCTATTAAAGTTCAAACAAACTTAAAATCTAAACATTTATTATCTTATTTATTTGAATTGATATCAGGTTCTAAAATTTTGATGGTAGTGAAATGTAAGATTATTTTTATGTTTTTTTCTCTACCTCGGAGATCAAGAACTTAAATAATTTAAATTGCAGTAAATTGATGAACTAAAATCTAAAAAAATTACTTGGATTGAAAATAATAAAATGAACAACGAAGAACATGAAGATATTTAAACTACCACGAAGATATGTCTACTTCAATTTATTATTGGCTTTAATTTTTCTACTTTTTAAAATCTCGAATTGATTAAAATAGTACCAGATAGAAACTGTGAGGCATAAAAGAGGCTTCTCCTACTGCCACTTTGGCAAAGGAGGCCTCTCTTACTGTCACTCGGCTGAAGGCTCCTTCAAGCCAAACAAAAAGGCTTCTCCTATTACCACTAGACAAAGTGGCCGCCTTCTATTACCACTAGGTAATGTGCCCTCCTTCACACCACAAAAGCAAAGTGGCTTTCTCCTACTAAGGACCTACTTCACCACTCGATCAAGGCTCCACTAAGCAAACGTAAGGAGGTTTGCCAATGCCACTCAGCTGGTATGGACTAAGGTATTTCCAATAACAAGAGACTTAGGCAAGTATATTCTTGTCCATGCTTGGCACCCAAGACAACTAAAAATGAGTCTCACTTAGTAAGAATCAACCAAGGAACTAGAGTCTTAGGTGAAATGCTACTCCAAGTAACATGGGGCTAACGATAAGGATTGAGGATCAAGAGTCCTAGTCTAACTCAATCCCAAATTTCTAGGACCTGGTGACGAGGTCAAGCCAATCACCTCAGAGCTTGAGTTCTAGTGGGACATGTCCCCCTATTACTATAAATAAAAGCTCAGGTACTAGGTAAGAGATTCGATCTCAGCCTATATATTCTATACTTTTCTTTGACTAACTTACTGACTTAAACATCGAAGTCCCTTTGGTCACCTCTAGCCATCAATTTCCCTAAGTGTTCTCTTGTCTTGCAGGTTCACCAAAGTTTCTCCACCACTCTTTCCGTCCATATGAGGTGGTGACCCTTTTAGTAGATTTATCCCCGCACAGAAATCTATAAAACGTATCAATTGGATTGTAGGATTTGTTGGGAACAATAGAACATAAATGTCCATTCATCCTAAAACTTGAGAATTTGATTACTTTTGTGGGTGATTTATTATATTTGTAAGTATTTTTATTATTTTTATGAGTATTTTTATCATTGTTGTGATAATTATTTTTATCACTTTTTTGAGTACAAAAAAATTATTGTATTTGTGAGTATTTTAATTATTGTTGTGATAATCGAAAAAATAATTACCATAACAATAATAAAAATACCCACAAATATAATTAAAAATCAATACGATATCAAAAAAAAAAAATTCGGCGCGGTAGACAACTCCAAAAACTTGAGCATGTTGCTGTAGATGCACAACTGTGAGGCTAGCGTCACCCACACAACACACCAAAGTTGACCACAGCACTCCAGCGTTGACCACAACACTCCAGCAGAGTAGCAGAGCCAAGGCGACGCCCACAGAAGCCTCCAAGGCGTCGCCCACACAGCACCACGCCCACAATAGCCTCCAAGGCTTCGCCCACACAACACCACACCCACAACAGCCTCCAAGGCTTCGCCCACATAGCAAAGTCAACCTCCAAGGCGTCGCCCACTCAGCCTGGGGCCGCCCAGCTGGTGCCATCCACGACCACAACGTCGCCCAGTTGGCGTCATCCATGCCACGGTATTGCCCAGCTGCCTCCTGCACTGTTGTCGCCCAGCCTGTCACGTCTGCACCCTAGCCCAGCAGCGCCCTCACCCAGCAGGGCCTGCGTCCAGTAGCGCCCTCGCATACTTGCCTCTGCCTGGTGCCCACTTGCTACTTGGCTAGGGATTGACTCGATACCTAGAGTCCTAACAAAACTTTACTCTGACTAGCAAGGGACTGTACATAAACGCCGCCTAGTGAGCAAAAATCCCTTCCTAACCCAAGACCCAACGTACTAATATGACTCTACCTCGAATGTCTAGGTGAGGTCTATCCTATAATAACTTGAAATTCAAGTCCATGTGAAACACCGTTTTCTATACCGCTATAAATAAAGGTTCTAAATACCAAGTATGACATTTAATCCTAGCCCATCCATCATATACACTTTTTTTTGACTTGCTTACTGATTTAAGCATCGGAGTCCCTTTGGTCGTCTCTAACCATTTGTTCACTTTAGTGTTCTCTTGCCTTGCAGGTTCCTCAAGACTTTCTCACCACCCTCTCTATCAGTACAAGATATTTACTTTCCGTGTGGATTTATTCCCGTACAACAACATTTGTGACTTGTAATTAACTATATATTCCTCTGGGGATTAATAAGTGTCAACCATGGTCTGTTCATTAACTTTCTAATTCAAGGGGAACTTTTTTTATATTACTTTGGTTATAATTAGGCAATAATTGAAACACCCATGTGTTAATAATTTCTAATATGTTCCACCCTTTGAATCAAGACTATGACTGCAGTTCAAACCTGAGATGTCGATCAGAACCATTTATACAAGGAAGATCCTGATAAGATCCTACATACATTGTCATATAAACAATGTTTTGATTAAGAGTGAAATAGCATTCTCAAAAAAGAAGTCAAGTGAGATCGTAGAGTGAGGTCAGATCTCATGTTGGAGCATTCCTTCGGTCCAATCAGTCGTTTTTGAGAACTATAATTCTGAGGTATTCTTCCCAATTTAAAGTAATTTAACAACGAAATACAAAAACTATTACCAATAATCGTTTATAAAGATAAGATAAATTACAATGGTTCAAAAGTAGTCCATGTAGGCAGGAGAGTGGAGTAAAATAATTCAGCATAACCATGAGAAACCAAACTTGGAGAGGAAGAATGACATGATGGGCATCAAACTACTTAATTAGCAAAAGGATGATTTAAAAATGACTTCCTCCACGGCTCCACAGCCCCCACCGCCGCCACATTCACCACCATCACAACTGTCACCACCTCCACTTCCACGACCATGATCACAAACACCGCCTCCACATCCACCACCAGAGGTACTTGCTACAGCAGATGCAGCAGCTGTATCCACTACAATACCACCAGTTCCTCCCAAAATGACCATGTTGTCATCATTTGTGTTGCTGCTCTTTTCTTGTACACCCATTTCCACATCATCATCAGAATGTGAAGCTGGAGGTGGACGTAGAGTTGGACGTGGAGGTGGACATAGAGGTACCCTCCACCTGAAAATAGGATTCTGGTATAGGCACACGAAAATGACAGCAACTACGGGTATAAAAAACGTAACTAATTGGCACAATTGCATATCCTTTCATCTTTACTATGGAAACACCTCACAGGTCTTCTGTATCCAACACCTACGTGATATTCAAACAACATAAAGACCTCTTGCATATACTATATTCAAATAGAGCATCATGCAGAAATATAAAATTTTGACTATTTTCAAGAAGCATGAAAGAAGTTTCTGACGTTGACTTTAGCTTCTCCTTGTTCACCATCACAAGAAGTATTGGTCAGATAAAAATTTAGCTCTTCTCAGTGCTACTGACATAGAGAAGTCTAGTTTCCTTCTTCCTGTGGCCAAATCTGCACAGAGAAATTAAAAAGTAGTACTAGTTCGATTACGGAAAAACTCGACATATTATTGAGATAGTATATGCTTTCAACATCTTGAAGTGAAAAAAAAAAAAAGGCTATCACCACTGCAAGGTTAGGGAAATTAGACATCCGCCGCTTTACCGCACGTGATAAGAGGCCACTCACTTGAGCACATCAACACCCTGGTTACAATAAAGCAACCTTACCGCTACAATATTTATATAGTTGTTCCTTTAAACTAAGAATAGTGCTATATTATTACTAGGTTACATAAGCTGGACTCTTGCAGAAATTATTGCAACAAGTTTAAAACCCTTGTGTTTATTGTTGTGTAGGTCCTCTAGAATACCATGGAATATGTTTATGGGGAAACTGGAAGAGTTCTTTGAATTTCCATATGAGAAAGTGATAGAGATCAAAAAGGGATTGGATGATCTTAAATTTAAGAATTGAATTTTATTATTTGTTTTAGCACTATTTTATTAGTTAGAGAATATTTGTTTGACTAGGAGTATTAATTAGAGTTTGATTAGAGAATTATTATAGAGTTTTAGTAGGATAATGATTTAAAAGTTTGATCATGAAACTCTTTTAGTATTTTAGTAGAAAAGTAATTTTTATTTTAGTAAGAAACTTGACCTATAAATAATGGTGTAATCCCAATTATTTAGGGATAGAGATTATGAATAATAATTGAGTATTCTATGCGGAGATTTGTGTGTTTCTTCACCGATTTCTTGCAAGAAAGAGATAAACCTCTTCCACCCTCTCTTCTTTCTTCTTCTCTTTCTATTCTGTGATTTCTAGTCCTTTCTTATCTACATCAGTTTGGTATCAGAGCCCAACTTCGAATAAAAAAAAAACTGTTCATTGCAGCACTGTTCACCAGTACTGTTCATCGGCGTTGTCGAGTTTAAAAAAAAAAACTCTCCCAATAGATTCAGAAAATTGCAGTAACATCTCAGTTGTTTCAGAAGTTACAAAATCACCACCAGAAGTTTTAAAAATTGTAGAATCTTCCCCAGTAGTTCTAGAATTGTAGAAACATCCCCAACATATTCACAAAATTACATAATAATTCCCAAAAATTTCAGAATTTCCTCTTGATTATGATGGTTTCCAACGCCGAATTAAATGCTAAAGTAGAGGCTTTATCCCAAGCACAAATTGATTCACAAAAGACCTTGAATGCTAGACTAGATACAATTCAAGCATCTGTCGATTCACTAAAAGAACTTGTGCTCGCTACAGTTTGTGAAACCAAAACAAGTGAAGATTTTAACTTTGTCTCTTCAACTATCAATCAAAATGTGGTTGAACACAACCATCCAGTTATACTACAAGCTCCACCACTACAGGTTCCAATCCGATTGAATGACAATAAACCGAAGTTATTCAATGTTGCTGAGCTCAAAAGTTCTACTTTTACTCATCCTACAACAATTGTTTTAGATAAGCCGATTGCAAAGGGTGTTCCTACAAATGAAGTTAAACAAGTTTTAAACGTGATTTTTTTAGATGGGGCTGCTACTTTTTTGTCAACATCATCACCATCATTTTATCTGGAACAAAGTGTGAAGGTTATGAACATTCGAGATATAGATTTCTCCCATTGTGATAACATATATTATGTTATTGAAGAGAACTCTTACTTCTATGCTTTCGGACTTGAAGATGTGTTTCACCATCTGATGTCAATTCTCTTGGAGTATCCTTGCTACAACAACTCTTCGGAGAAGAGTTTTTTTTCAGCCGAGGAGAATGATAGAGATCAAAAAGGGATTGGATGATCTTAAATTTAAGAATTGAATTTTATTATTTGTTTTAGTATTATTTTATTAGTTAGAGAATATTTGTTTGACTAGGAGTATTAATTAGAGTTTGATTAGGGAATTATTATAGAGTTTTAGTAGGATAGTGATTTGAGAGTTTGATCATGAAACTCTTTTAGTATTTTAGTAGGAAAGTAGTTTTTATTTTAGTAAGGAACTTGACCTATAAATAATTGTGTAATCCCAATTATTTGGGAAGAGAGATTATGAATAAGAATTGAGTATTCTCTGCGGAGATTTATGTGTTTCTTCACCGATTCCTTGCGAGGAAGAGGTAAACCCCTTCCACCCTCTCTTCTTTCTTCTCTTTCTATTCTGTGATTTCTAGTTCTTCCCGATCTACATCAGAAAGTCATGGTTGCTAGATAATTTTAGCCATGGTACCATCTTTTTGGTTGCACATAATTTTAGCAAAATCAACTATCCAAAGACAATAAAAATAATAGGATGTAAGAAAAAAAGTGATGGGACTTTTTTGAAATACTCCATGATGAAGACACGTGTCCTCAGTATTACCAAAACACTGTTGCTAAGATCAAGCATCATCGGCTCACAAAGGTCCCTCGCTCCCGAGATACTCGTCATATGGGATCATGGCATTCAGTACGTTTTACAACCGACACGTAGCCTCGGTCTGATATGGTGCCTCGGTCGGTATACCTACCTCAGTTCTGAGATGTGACTTTCCTCGATGCCGAGAGGTACCCCGTCCTAGATGTCTCCTCTGCTCCAGAATAAGCTATTGACGTACAGGTCATTAGCCTAGGCTAGTCTAGGCTATTCATCATGACCTCGTCTTACACAATTGATGTCAGAACGCACAAGAATGCAGGTGCCACAGTCAATGGGGGATAGACGCGTGGCATATGATGTCACATCAAAGACAGAAAAATCGCATGCCGTTGCTGACACGCGACTTGGGAAAACAAACGATTAATTACACCATTCCCTTGACGAGACTGCATTCAATGCGGTAAGGCTCGAAAATGAAAGGCAATAAATGTTCTTAATACAGAGCATTTATTGCATCCTCTCCGAGAGGAGTTCATTGTACCGTCGGCATCCCGATGACGCAGCATTGATTGCTCAGGACCCCGAGCAGTTAAGAAGAGAAGACATTCCTCATCAGAATCAGTGCGCACACTGCCAGTACCTAATGATCATCTACTGACGACACTGACAACAATCATGAGCTTTTGAGGTATAAATACTCCTCATAAAAGGCACAAAGGTATGCAACAGGAAACTCTTTACTACGAGAGATACTCAGTGTTTTCTTCTTCCTCTCCCTTTCAAAAGCTGACTTGATCGTCGAAGGGGATAAGCCGGAAAACACTCCGGCGCCCTTCTAACTTGTTCTCCTTTATTCTAGGAACCTTTTCCCAGCCTTACTGGATCATCCCTTCAGTTCACGAGGGTCTCCCATTATCGTTCTAGGTCACCAACGGACCTCACAGGCTGTCCCAAGCAGCGTGGTTAGTCACTCAGCTGACTCACTCGAGTTCACCAAGGGAGAGATCTGTTCTCGTTTTTCATATTGTGCAAGATCCTGCACGCACAATCTGGCACCGTCTGTGGGAAACGACTAGTTTTCCTAGTTTTTTCTCTATAAAGAACAGTGACCATGGTGAACACTCGACAAAAAGGGAAAGGCCCCCACCAAAGGAGTCTCGAATTACAAGCTCCCTGTCACCACGGAGGGAGGGATCACACCGATATGAATAAAAGTGTCTCTACTCAGTCAAGAGGGGTTACCCCTCAAACTAGTATGGGAATCAGGTCAGGGGGATCAGCCCCCTTGGCTCGTCAGCTGGCGGAGGTGATTGAAAAAAAGTTTGGCGATAGATTACGACAGTTGGAAAAGGACAATGTAAACGTCCTAAGCCGACTCAACGAGTTTGCCGCCTCCGGCGAAGGGTCGAGGGATTCATTCCTTTCTCGTGGGCTTCCCGCCCGGGAGGCGGAAACGAAGGATCTAAGAAATCACCTAAACAACAAAGCAGAAAGCTCTAGGGCCCCAAAGCGACCCAGAGCCAGCGAGCATCATCATGACGACCATTCAAGGAAGGCAAGGCCATTGGCCCTGGACGACCTCCGGCGAGGTTTATCTAGACAGAGGAAGGGAGATGAATCTGAGGAGGATTCAACCCAATCCACATGACGCCCAGGAAATAAAGGGGCCTACCGATGAACTCAAGGACTTCAGAAGACATCCCGTCAGGGAGGAAATTGATCTCAGAGCCCGGTTGGAATCCAGGAGAAAGGGTAGGCTGTCCAGGATGAGGCCGAAGACGAAGTCATACAAACACCCTTTACGAGGGAGATCGGTGAGATGGAGGTTTCAAGAAAGTTTGTCGTGCCGCGGTTCAAAACTTATGACGGGCGGTCCGATCCCGAAGCCCATGTCAGGCAATACAAGCAGATGATGTCCCTCTATCATTCGGACCAACGGTTTCTCTGTCGAGTGTTTCCTATGAGCTTGGGGGACTCTGCGATGAAGTGGTTCGAGGCGCTTCCCCCCAACAGTATTGGGTCGTGGAAGGAATTGACGAAGCAGTTCCTGGCTCGATTCATTACGGGGAGTAAGCGCCCCAAAGACGTTGGATCATTGCTGACCCTCAGACGTAGGGAATCCGAGACTCTTCGCCAGTACGCCATCCGATACTGGGAAGAGGTTAATGAGGTAGAAGGCTGCTCGGAAGTCATGGCAGCAGCATCTTTCCGGCTCGGCTTGGCAAGGGACACGGACCTGTACCGATCCCTGACCAAGAAGACTCCCTCGGATATGGGGGAACTGATGGCCCGGATAAACAAATACTCGAGGGTTGAGGA